GGTATGAGGGAGGCTACCCGGGAGGGACCAAAGGGATGAAAGGGAGGGTGGAAAGGATACAATTCCATTTCAATTATAAACTTATTTTTAAGGAATTAGTGCATTAACTGTACTTCTTAATGATGAATGAGAAATATGTGAGGAAATGATACATAAAAGTTCTGAAAAATGGAAGCAAATTTTAAAAATTCATTAACTACAAGTTTTCTAAACCATCGAAGCATTAATAAAGGACACTAGATATTGTTTTTTCTTCTGAAATTATACTATCAACAAGGAAACTAATGCCATTGACTTAAAAGCAAAGGTAATCTCTTCCTTAGAAAACTGTAGAGAATGTTGAGTTGATATGTCTTTCAAAAAATCCAAATTTAAATTTGTTTCCACCACAAAACCTGGGTAAGTTGTGGCAAAATCCCTGACGTCCAGGGGATTCACAATGTCTGGGATCTCTAGTTCACTAGCAACGTCATGTGTGGTTGGATGACTATTTAAAGCCCACATCCAGTGCTAGCTTCAGCTTGTATGATAACTTGGCTGTACAGGAAATTAATCTGGTGAGTTTATAATGTTGTCAGTAAATCCAGGTGCTATTAAAGGGAAAATCAATACATAGAATTAAAGACAAATAGCTGTTTTAGATTGTTTGTTATTTATAAAGTATCCAGTGATTTTTAGAGTCTGGTTTTCTCTTTAAATAAATTTAGTGATAGAAATAGATATTATGATTTGACTAATTTCGATTTTTAATTCATTCTACTTATCCTAAAATTGGTTCTCCTTTTAAGAGCATGATCCCTATTTAGTGTGAACATTTACTGAGTGACAGGTGTCAATTGTCTTAAAAAGATGAAAAATATTTTCCTATAAGCAGCTACTAGACTAAACAGAGAGGGAGATAAATATAGGAAGATTTAAAGTACTAAAAAATGTATGTAGAGGAGTATTAAAATATTAATATGAAAAGGCAGAAAACAGTATAAAGGAAATAAAATAATGCACACAAAAAGGATGAAAAACAAGATCAGTTAATATAAATAATTTTCTCCTCACCATCATTCTATCTGAATACATTATCTAATTTTGCCTCCACTGTAGAAACTGATGTAAGTAAATGTTAAATAGAGGTATCTGCTTTGATTTGGAGAGGTAACTTACTTTGAGAGGTAAATTCAAAATCTTTCCAAAAGAGATTACAATATGACATTTCATAGAGACAGGTTAACACAATAGGAAAATGATGTCTAGATAGATAGAAAATTTCATATCAAGAAAACTATCACTAGAATGTTTAGTGGTCTATCAAGAAATTCAGAAGCACAAATTGAAACATGAAATAGATTCTGTCTAGAACCACTTGTTCTTTCCCTACCCTCAGAGGCAAAGAAAGAGGAAAAACAAACAAAATATTCAAACTCACATCAAAAGAGAATTAACTGTAGTCAACCTAGGAAAGTAAATTAGCCCATGAAAGCAACTCTAAACTTGACTGTTCTTAGTTGCCTTGTTTGATGTAGAATGTGTTGATAATTATGGAATTAATGAATAATTACTTAAACAATAATTATATATCTGAAGTCATTTATTTTCATAATTCAACAAAATTTAAGGATTTATACTTACCCTTCACTGGAAAGATATCAAGAAAAACAAGAAGACTGGACAGAATTATTTTAAGTATCCTGACTGAACTGAGTTAGTCTCTCATGAACTCATCTAAAATTGAGAGTTAATTATTTCAAACTAGAAATGCTAAAAATCATGTTGATAAATATACTTAAGCAGTACTGCTGTCATTGGAGAAAAATGATTACATGACAAAACTCTCAATTAGCCAGAATAGGTGGCTGGGATTCAAAATGAAATATGTATATTTTTCTTAGTGTTTGTTGGAAGCCTGTAAGGCATGTCTCTTTTGTAGGGTTAAATTCATAAAAAATCCAGTAAAGATCAAGCTTTCAGCTTCAAAGACTTAAACTGAAATGTTTGCAGCATTAAACCTCTGCTTTAAGTAGTAGTAGAAATAAATTTATTATACCATATAAGGTATAATAGGTGTATAGAAGTTTTATTTGCATTGCTTTATATTTCACTCTATTAGTTTTAAATATAAGATGAGAGTTATTCATTATGATATTCATGACTTAGTATGCACTTTGGTAAAATAGGTTTACAAATTCTTATTATTGTTATTGCATTTTAAAGTATTATTATGTTATGGAGCTTAGGAATATGGAGTGTGGGAAGGATTGAATACTAAGGTGAGTGTTATACCTACTGATGCTTCATGAAAATAGCTTAAGACGGTCAGATATTTTATCACACTAAAATTATAATAAGCCCTAGTTGTTTCACTTTCATATGTTTAAAAATTGACAATAATTTTTAAATAATGGAATTTAGTGGTTTTGATGTAAGGTAATTATAAATTTTGAAATCACATTGTAGAAATAAATTAATTCTTTCTCAACAGTAATTAAAATGGCAATGAAAAATGTTTTCATTTTTGTTGTAGGAATTAACATGTTTAACTTAGTTGAAAATAAAGAGATTGGAAGGGAATTTGACAAATAAGTAGATGAGAAATGATATTAAATTTATTAGATTATACAAAAGATGTTTACAGTAAAGATTGCAATTATACTCTTTTTTGCTTAATTATTTTCTTTTTTAAAAATTTATTTATTAGTTCTAGTTAGGGAACAAGCTTGTTTCAAGTCCCTTCTACCTCTCTCTCCCCTCATCCCCATCCCTCCTCCCCCACCCCCAGCCCAACCCCCATCCCATCCACCCATCACTCCCCAGGCAGGGTAGGGCCCTCAAAGGGGGCT